TTTTCAGGTTTTTCATTCTTCAAATTTTCAATTCCTCGATTTTTCGATATTTGAGTGATACGATTTCTCAATTTTTGTCCTCTTCAATTTTACGATATTTAAATATTTTGAGTTTTCAATTTTTCAAATTTTGACGTTTCTAAATTTCCTGAAGTAATCTTTTTTTTATTTTCCTGTTTCTCGACTTCCCAAAGTTTCGATTTTTCACTTCTTCAATTTTTTAATTTTTCGATTTTTCAGGTTTTTGATTTTTCAATTTTTCCATTTTTTAAGTTTATTGCTTATTGCAAAATTGAAAAATTTTAAATTTCAATTTTGCAATTTTTGGATTTCCAGTTATCCGGCTTTCCGATTTCTTCAATTTTCATTTCAAATTTGCATAGATTTTTAAGTTTCTCAATTTTTCATTCTGTCCTTTTGTTTTTTGATATTTTAGTTTTACAATAATTTTGATTTTTTTTATTTTTTTGATACGAAAAGTGGCAAAATCAGAAAATTGAAAAATCGAAAAATTGAAAATCGAAACCTAAAAAATTGGAAAGAATTGCAAAATCGAAAAATTAAAAAAAGTGAAAATTGCAAAATCGAAAAGTGGAAAATTGTAAAATTGCAAATCAAAGAATTCAAGAAACGAAAAATAATACATTTAAAACTAAATGAAACTTACAAATTTAAAAAATCAATGAATCGAAAAATTGAAAAGAAGAAAAAACGAACCGAATCAAAAAATTGGAAAACACATAAATTGTAAAACGAAAAATTATGGGATTGTCAAAATTGTAATATCGAATTGTATCATCGAAAAATGGAAAGTTGGAAAGTTAAATATCGAGATATTGACAAATTAAAATTCGAAAATAGAATAAACCAAAAAGTTTTTAAATCCAATAATTGAAAAATGGAAAAATTCTAAAATCATTGAATCGAACAAGTGTAAAATTTTACAAATCATGATTATTATTATAACGTATTTAAAATGAAAACTAGAAAAATTGCAAATGAAAAATTGAAGAATAAAATAACTGAAGAAACGAAAAATGAAAAAATCCAGAAACTGAAAAATCTAAAATTCAAAAACGAAAAACTAAAAACCGAAAAACTGCAGATCGAAAAGTTGAACATTCCATCCAAAAATTTAAAAACTGCACATTGAAAAAAAATAAATTATAGATTCAGAATATTGAAAAATCGAAAAATTGCAATATATCTAGAAACCATCCATTTCCGTCCAATAATTTTTTTCTCTAAGACCTATTTTATAAATTAATGTGAAATATTATTGTTATTCTTATATTGATAGGTGGATATGAGCTGTTTCTAAGAATCTAAAAGAATCTAAAAGAAATTAGAAGAATCTGAAAGAGTCTGCAAGGACCTGAAATGATCTGGAAAAATTTGAAAGGATCTGAGAGAATCTCCAAGAATTTAGCAAAGTCGAAAAGAATCTAGAGTTGTTTTAGTTTTTCTAGGTTTTTCAATTTCTCGAGTTTTCAGTTCTTCTATATTTCAATTCTTCAATTGTCCGAATTTTTAAATTTTTGATTTCCCAATTTTTCTTTTTTCAGACTTTTCGATTTTTTGATTTCTCGATTTATGGAATTCAGATGTTTCGATCAATTTTTGGATTTCTCGGCTTTTCGATTTTTCACTTTTAGGCTTTTCAATTTTTCTTGAGTTATCCGATTTTTCAATTTTTTAATTTCTGGGGTTTTGATTTCTCGATTTGTCGATTTTTCAGTTTTTCGATTTTGAAGTCCTAGATTTTCTAATTTTTATTTTTTGATTTCTCGATTTTTGATATTTTAATTGTTCAATATGTTAAATTTTAGGTTTTTCGATTTCTCGATTACTTGATTTTTCAGTTCTTCAATATTTCTATTTTGACGTTGCTAAATTTTCAGTTTTCCGATTTTTCGATTAATCTATTTTTGATTTTCCCTTCCAGATTTCTTAAGTTCCGATTCTTCAGTTCTTCAATTCTTCGATTTTTCGACTTTGGTTGTTTGGTTTCCCGATTTCTCAATTTTCCAATTTTTTAATTTCTAAATTTTTGGACATTTATTTCAGTTATTGACATTTTTGAGTATTTCGTTTTTTCGACATTTCGATCTTTCGGCTTCTGGCTTTTTCTATTTTTTATTGTTTGGATTTTCAGTTTTTCGATTTATAAACTTTAGATTTCTCAATTTCCCGAATATTTTAATTTTCGATTTTTCAATTTTTTGAAATCTCCATTTATCGAGATTCTAATGTTTCGATGTTTTGATTTTTCAATCTCTCGAATTAACATTTTTAACTTTTCAATTTTTCGATTTTGGCCTATTTCGGTTTTTTCAATTTTTTGACTTCCGAACTTTGTGACTCCTCGATTTCTCGTTCTTTTGATTTATGGATTTCTCGATGTCTCACTTTTTGAATTTTTCGATAATTCGATTTGTTGATTTTTCAGTTTTTCCCTTTTTACATTTTAGATTTTCGAATTTTTCTTTTATTGATTTTTCAATTTTACGATATTTTAATTTTTCAGTGTTGTAAATTTTAAATTTTTCGACTTGTCGATTTTTCAGTTCTTCATTTTTTTCAAATTTTTCAAATTTTGGCGTTTCTGAATTTTCAGTTTTCCGATTTCTCAATTAATCTATTTTTTAATCTTCTAATTTGTCGACTTCCCAAAGTTTCGATCTCTCAGTTCTTCAGTTCTTTAATTTTTCGATCTCTCAGTTTTTCAATTCTTTAATTTCCCAATTTTTGGAGATGTCGTTAATTTTTCTGATTTTTTAGTCTTTCGATTTTTCAATTTTTCTTGCATTTTTCAATTTTTCGATATTTGAGTTTTGGATTTTCACTTTTTCGTTTTTTGAACTTTATATTTTTCAATTTTTCTACTGTATTGTATACTTCGATTTCTCAATTTCTCAACTCTTCGATATTTTAATTTTCAGTTTTTAAAATTTTAGGTTTTTCGATTTCTCGAGTTTTCAATTCTTCTATATTTCGATTTTCCAATTTTTTTGATGTTTAGATTTTTCAATTATCCGATTGTTCAATTTGTGGATTTTTAAATTTTGCAATTTTTATTTTTTGATTTTTCGATATTTGAATTTTTCGATGTTTTAAATTTTAGATTTTTCGATTTTTCAGTTCTTCAATATTTCTATTTTTCAATTTTTCGATTTTTTAATTTTGCCATCTTGGTTTTTCGTTTTTTAAAATTTTTCGACTTTTCGATTTCTAAATTTTTGCAACATTATTAGTTTTGGGAACTTTTCAATTTCTGTTTTTTTTTAGAGTCCAGATTGGCTTGAGCGCTCCGATCTGTGGATCAAACAAGTTCTCATGATCGCATATAACATATCGATGTTGGAAAAAAAGTATAAATTATAAAACAACATTTTGTAATTTAATTTTGAATTTGCAAAACCGAATGTTTTGAAATCTTGCAGATGTTTTAAAGTTAAGATAAGCACACTGTTTGGTAACTTTTTAATCAAAATGTATCTGTTTATCAACCTCAAAAAATTGATGTCGTCATCTCAAAATTTTGCCGGATAAAACCTATCTAAGTCTGTACTTGTAACTTGTAATTTATCATTGCATTCATATTTTTTTAGATTTGCTTCTACGAGGTGACTCAAAAAATTAATGAATCAGTCAATTTATTTTACTGAATAAATCAAGAATTGCAAAACTGAATACTCAAAACTTCAACTCGAAAATGCTGGATATGTTTTATTGTACTTCAGGAGTGAGGGAAGTTCTGTTAAAACAACTTTCGACCAATTTTAATTATTTATATGTATGCTATAGGTAGATGTTGTTCCTAGCGAATTTTTAAGTAAGTTAGTAGTTCTATATGTCGCTACTTTATAAATAATTTTTTGATATTTTCTCAGTTGCAACTGCTATATTTTCACTAAAGCACAACTGTCAACGGATCATTTTTCAATCTTCACTAAAGCTGCTGTTGTGTCGTCCAATTTTTCATATTCACGCCATACAATGGTAGTATATACAAAAATAACGGTCTGAGTGTACCTTCCAGTTTTAATTCTTGCTCTAAATTCTGAATATTCGAGGATCTATTCAGTCGTGTTGTATAGCGAATTTGACTTAGGTACCTCATTTTATAACACAAAACAATATAAAATTATAATTTCAGTTTTTTTACAGATGAAATCCAGAGGACATCTTAGCGAAGTTTTTGTTTAAATTAAATACAAGATCTCAATAATAAAAAGAAGAAAATTTCAAAATTTACTTTTTACTGAAAATTACAATTCGCCTTAGACACCTATAATTCTGTGGTAACTATAAATGGTTTTAATATTGGTTTATAAAAATTAGTTATTTCATCTTAATTGAAACGAACTAACAATTTGTCAAAAGAGTAACAGCATTTTATAAAAGTTGAAATTTGGAGAATATCCCTTAGATAAGATCTTTTGGCATCATCCGCTGGAGGGATGCATGAAACAATAATATTGTTATAATGAGACACGTATGAGCGTACATTTTCCTCATTTTGCTGTCATTAATTAATCTCTCCTATGTGGGTAATAAATGTACAATAACCAGTAATTATACTAGAATGGGATTAATATAAGTTCAATATGAAACATCTGTCACGCTTCACTCTATGGCATTTATTTTAATTAATTGAATAAAACATCGTAAATTTCAAATTAAATGTTGCACCACGTATAAAATTTGTCTCTTTTGATACATAAACGAATGAGAAATTTTAGTAAAGTATCTGATCAGTTCTAATTTAAAATGAAACTTTCACGTTCACGATTGTTTTAAACACGCAGTAGGCCAAGATATTTTTTTGTTAGGTCCTGTCATAGGACGTTCCTTTTTTAAATATTTTTAGCTGATTTGAAACAATCGTGAACTGTTATATGCGTTTCAAAGATTATATAAGTAGGACAAGCAAAACAGGAGAAAATTATGACTGTAGGATTGTTCAAATTAGAAAAAAGCATTTTAGTTTGATTCATCTTTATTTTATAAATGTTTGATTTTTTACAGTCCTAGAGATATTCCAGTGGTAAGGATCTGAATCGTCACATGTAAAATAGAAAAGAAACTCCTACCCTGTTTAACATTCATTTCCTTCACGCCTTACATATGGTAAATTGGGTCGCAATAAATAACGGGGTCGGCGTGCCAAATTCGAAGGAATATATACAAAAATAATTTAGGATCGAATTTGAGACGCCCGACGAGTGTACCAAATAAAGTGTGCTCTATTTTCTTTAATACTTTATATTATTGCTATACATTTATTACTTTTTTCGTCGTTTAGATGTGGGATTGCAGATGGACTGCAATCCCACATTGACTATCGCGACAAAATCGAAAGTACACTCGTTGCATAAAAACCTTAAAATAGAATCTACCTTAACCTATATCGACAGCCTTGAAGTCCTTACGTTTAAAACGCAATTAAGTATAGTATAAAAAAGCATAAAAATTGACTAGAAGAGGAACAGATAAAGCTTCATAGTATATTTTAACCTTATCATAGTCGATTGTCTCTTACAGTTATTTAACCACAAATTTTAATACCTACTTTTAAATACATTTTAATTATGTACATGACTAGCCTCAGCGCAGAATGTATCCCCTTGGTCTGAGACACACAATGTGTCTAAATATACCCTCACTACAGTTCACAGAAACGTATGCGTGTTTGCGGTTATTCGGTAAAGGATTCCGCAGAGTTGGGTTCCATCTTTGATCTTTAAGAATCGCTCAATTGCGTTGGCGAATGTGGGCAGGTGTAAATTTCTCATTGTGCAGGTAAAATAGTCCACAAAGTGGATTTATTTGTTCTCGTGTCCGTTTTGAACGTGACACACGTCGACAAAACAATAAAAGAAACACACCGAAAAGGAAACGAAACAATAAAAATAATTTGTTTTGGAAACGGAAAGTGCGGGTTGTTCGACGCAAAGTGGTCTAGTACCAGGCGTGGGACGAAACGACTGATAACACAATTATCGTGGCGAATTTCAATTTTGATTATACAGCAAAAACACTTATAATGGAAACTCGAACGGTTGGAATAGGGGACAATCTATAGCGAAAATCGTCTGTTTAGGTTTACGACTTGCGTCCGTTTACAGGTGTAATTGCCTTTTGATTATATCCATAATCCCTTCATCATAGTATCATCAAACACAATTAATAAAGCGACATACGATATTACATCCTGTGAAATTTTAAGTCACGGTAACAATGTGAAATTGATCTTTTTTTTTTATCAAGAGGCGTCCCTTCCGATGGCACCTTTAGTAAAATCGGATCTGTCGTTTCTTGACCCCTTCCTCGTGGCCGCAATGAATTGTTGGCAGCAATGATTAATGACGTAGTCGGTGCCACTATGACCACGTGCGGTCCGCAGGTCCTGTATTCATCTTCACGAAAAGCGATCGATCTGTCTGTTTCTCATCATTGTTCGATTTCAATTTGGGTTGACGTCGTCATAATGCGAATTTTTCGTGGATTTATGACCCCGAAGGCCGAACTTTCAAATTGCCGGTTTATATTAATCATAGTCACGTTAAGCTTATCAAAAATAAATCATGTTCTGTTATATAACGTTTTATGGATTTAATAATAATTGGCGCAGTCGGGAGGATATTAATTTAATGTTGAAAAAATTATGTCGTCTGTTGTGTCAGAGTTATTTATTATTGGCGTGATTCAGATAAGCATTTGATTATCACATCGTACGGAAAGTTGTTCTTTGAGTGTATTAAATTTATACAAGTCCCTCGAGGTCTTTTTTGTTATCGCCGCCGGCAAAATGGAGAAAATTTATGGCGGAAACGTAACGGGCTTATCATTTCCATGATGTTTTCTCATATGGAATTCAATAAAATAGAAGAGGATGGCTTGAGAGCCAATATTTGGAACAAACTCCTCTGAAAAGCAAATCGTAGCGTGGGATAGTAAAAAAATCCAATTTCTGGACTGCGATATCAGTTTTTTCGTGAAGCATTAGAAATTGATTTTTCATTTTGGATTTAGTTGCAAAGGACGGAACACAAACGGAAAATGATATATTCGCGGCTCCGAGATTAAAATTTTAAATATTAAGGAGAATGTTGAGCGGAATGGATTACAAATTTTTCTGCCGTTCGGTGTCAGAGCAAAGTAAGAGGTTTAAAATAGTTGCACAAAGGGACTCATAATAGACCATTTACGGACACAAAAGAGTCGTGAAAGAGCTTTCTCCGTTGCTGAATTTAATAAAACTTTTTCAGTCGATGCAATGCATCGGAGTTTTACGATTTAAGCGGGTGCAATTTCGATAATTTCTAGGTTTACGAGGGCCGGTCTTATTACGGATTTAGGAATTTGCATTGTTGATTGATGAAATGCGGACCACTGCAAAATAAACTCACAGAACTCTATTGTGAATTCTCTCTTGACCATCACTCAGTTTGTTGTTGAAATGTAAAGCAGAATTAATATTTTTTGTACTTGCTACAATAAAAATAAAAAAATAAAAAGGACAAAGAATGTTTTAGAATTATTACTTCTAGTGGAGACGAAAAAAAACTAAAAAATGTTTATAAAAATAGATAAACGTGGAGAACTGGAAAAGGAACAAAAGGGAGTTTCAATTTCGTCGACTTATGCTTGACTGAAATATAAAACACAAAGCTAATCATTTTTCAAGTAAGCAGAACGTACTTTCAGAACTCTGCTCCATACAATAGTAAATATCAAGTAAAAAATGAAAACAAGAAAAATAACTCAAAATATTAAAAAAAATAAAATCAAGACCGTTCACACAGAAACTGAAATAACACTTCGCTATAACCAGAAATCGAGTACTAAAAATTCTCTGCTTTTATAAAACCAAGAAAGAAAATATTAAGATATATAAAAAAAAGAATAAGTAGTAATAGATACATGAACAAAAGAAACATACTAACTACGGGTTGTAAAACATTATGATTTAATTGTGTGCAATATAATGATAATAAAATTTCATTTATATTTATAATCTACATTTTTCCTTTCAGAAAACAGTTTGTTTTACTATAATGAAAGGTTACGTTTTTATCTAGTAATAATATTTTCCAACGAACTCAAAATTCCTATATGTTGTTTTTAATTTACTGGTGATTTTTGATGAAGCGAATTTAATTAAAAAATAACAACCAAAACAGGGATTAACAAATATTACAAAACGCTTAGTCCATAAACTAAGTAAAAATTAACCAAAATAACAAAGATTTCGAACTCCATTCTTTGATTTATTGTTGTCGTTTGCCTACACCTGGTGCCACTATAGAGCATTTTATTACCTCGCTTACCGTTAAATATATTTTGATGCGGCAAAAAAGTTTCAACATGTTGAGCAAAAAGATTTTATTGTCAAATACAGGCCCATTTTCTTTGATATTTATGAATTTTTGCACTAATTATATTATACCTAAATGTGTACTCCACCTTATGTGGTCAATTCGTGCTAAATTAAAACTTTTTGCGTTATATTTTGATGTTATGTGCTCTATACATGATCACAGCACAGGAACAACACACCACTCTTTAAATCAACTTTTTTACCGCACCGCAATATGAATTAACCCGTGGATTTTTTGAAAAATGTTTCATTACACTCAGTCAACTCAACTGACTTCCAACTCACCACCTTTCTTCTCTCTCCCATTTCTCAAAGTGATAACCGACCGTTTGTTGTTTTCCTCCTAACAACCCCCAAAGTACACATTCACCCTCCGAGTCAGATTTTTCTAATCCAAAGAAAACAAAAGCTCGTTTCGTATGCACGAACATAGCACGCCTGATGTTTTCGAAAGGGGGTTATACACACCAACAAAAATAAAGTAGAGCTTATACATGTCGCGGATTTTTGTCCGGAATCCGGATCAATCCGGGCAATTTTTTACCCGCGCCGCCGTCATGTTTCAATTGTGAGTTATAGAGGGGCTGCAAAAAACAGGTAACGGTCGAGATTTCAAGCCCTGGGGAGAAGAGGGAGAAAAAGGCCTAATCAATAACAATAAGGGTGGAATGGACGCAACAATGTAAATCTTGCGGAACCGAAGTGTAAATCGTTTTAATGTTGCAGGAGATCTTGTCACGGTTGATGAGGGGCTTTGTTTATTATTTCCGGAAGTGTAGGGGGAGGAAACTCCCCCTAGCATTATGACACAGTAAAAAATGCTTTGCATAAATTAACGGAACCACTAGTTGTAATGTACAAAAACAAATTTCATTCTCTTGTTTGTTAAATATGTAATATATTATTTTAACAATGAGAGCGTATCACTCAAATTTTTCATTCAAATTTTGTCCAAAGTCGTTGGAGCAACGTTAAATTTTTATATTATTATGTTTTTCACGTATTTACAAATTCGCCTTCAAAATCCACAAATCTCTAGTCGTTGCGGGGTACACGATGTTGCTTTAGCAACTTTACTGTGCAAACTACCTTTTCTTTGTCGTTATTTTTTAAAGTTAACCAAACACTTTTTACTGTGTACGATGACGATTAGGCCGTAGCGTCTTTGGAAGACTCTTCAAATCCCAAATCGTTCACCGTGTTTCGTCACTCAGTGATTCTTCATCAACCCCTCTCGTGATCGTCGATCATAGAAACGACTCGTGCGCTGCGTTGATCTCTGGTGTTTTCACCTCATCGCCTTCGGCTTCAATGTACTCGACACCTTCCTCGTAGTCCACGTGGCATCTGGTGCTCACGTGATGGTCAGGATCTCCGTACTGGCTGTGATAGAACTCTTCTCTCATCATGTGGTTCAAACTCCCGCAGCGGAAATACAAAATGGCCTGGAACGGTTTCCGGAAGTCTCTATTCAGGGTGGCGTAGATGATGGGGTTGAGTAGGCTGTTTGCGTAGCCTAACCACAGGAATATGCTGCCGAGGGTTTTAAGGGCATGGCTGTTTTCTAGGAATGGCCTGGCGATCGCCAGAACGAAGAACGGTAGCCAGCATACTGTGAACGCGCTCATGATGATGCCCAGAGTCGTGCTGGCTTTTCGTTCTTTGGCCAGGTGGAAGCGGAGTTTCTTTTGATTAGTGGCGTTTGTGTTTGGTGATGTTTTGATCGATGCCAAAAGGCTGGATTTTTGTTGTTTTTCTTTGTTCGCTTGTTTAATCGGGGGCTTGTTGCTCAGCATGGGGCATTGGGATTCGTTGCTGTGACGGGACTTGAAACAGCGACCGAGGCTGCTTTTGTCCAGACTGCACTGTAACAAAAAATATTGTTAGTGTTACTGGGTGTAATATGTACCTGAATTATGGTGTCTGCACAATAAAAATACAATAGACACAATCTCGTAAGGAATTACTTTTTAAATAAACGCGCTTCAGCAACTAAAAAAAATAAACAAGAAGAGTCAATAAAATAATATCAATAAACGATTGGAATGGATACCGGTTAGGGGATGGTGAGAAGTAACAACATCAAGCTTGAAAGTAAAATAAACAATGGTCTTTGAGGCAATAACAAAAATAATCACAATGAACACTTACATTATTTCTGACAATTCATTTGTTATTTATGAATTAAAACAAAGTTTTTGAGGAAAAAGAAATTCTCTAGATGTTACCTCAGAAGTGGGTAAGCACAGTTTCATATTTAAGTCTGTCTTAACGTTAATTGCTATTTGTCTTGGAGAATTTATTTTTGTTTCTCAAATAATTTGCAGCGCGACAAAGGACCAGTCAACCAGTTCAAATAATATTCTTCACAGATTTCACGATAATGTTCTAATATAAGCATTTTGATTATAATTCACATTTATTAGCAGTTAACAAAGATATCACATCTTGTTCCACTAGAATTTTTAAACTTGCGTTATAAATTCACAGCTTGGTCTAATATCGTTTAATAATAATAATAATAATAATAATAATAAAGTTTATTAACGGTTTTTTTACCTTTACATAATATTTGTTAATCTAACACTATAGAACGAACGGAAAGTTTAAAAGAGGAAAACTTATTACAGAAGAAATCAACATTGTAGCAAACAGTATTACAACTTGCAAGAATTCCATTTAAAGGAGAGAATAGCGCATAAAACTGACTACATGTATCAATATAGAACAACGGAGATTTCCTAATAACGTACTGAGGCACATTAAATTTAATAAGATCTAAAATTTCAGGACAGTCACAAATATTGTTTAAAATTTTACACATAAAACAGATTTTTAAATAAGTTCTGCGATCATTTAATTTACTTAACCCTAAATAAGTCATTGACATGTCAGGAGATTTACAGATATTGAGAGGAAGACGACGAGATATATACTTGACAAATTTAATTTGAACTAATTCAAGTCTATCAACATATGTTTTGTAATAGGGAGCCTACACTACGCATCCATACTCTAGAATGGAGCGTACATATGTAGTATACAAAATTACCAGAGTACGTAAGTTATTGAAATATTTGCAGTACCTTTTAATGCATCCTAGCATTCTGTTTGCTCTAGCTACTATGTGCTCATGATGGGATATAAAAGAAAGCTTGCTATCCAAAAATATACCCAGGTCCTTAATCAAATATGACACTTTAAGAAATTTCCCATTAAGTAAATAAGCAGGAGTCGACGGTGATTGTTTTCTACTGAAATTTATTACATGACATTTGTCATGGTTTAAAACCATGATATTATTATCGCACCAGTCAGATAGTGTGACTAGATCCCTTTGTAGACGTGTAGTATCATTGGAGTTTTTGATGATTGCATATATTTTCAAATCATCCGCGAATAAGCTAAAATCACAGAACAAATGGTTACCAATATCATTGACATATATCGAAAACAGCAAAGGGCCTAATATCGAGCCCTGAGGAACTCCTGACGGTACACGCCGACTATCTGAAAGGCAATGATTTAATTTGACTTGTTGTACTCGACCTGTTAAGTAACTCCTAAACCATCTTAACAAAGAACCTTTAATTCCATATGCGGATAATTTCCCAATTAGTATACCATGATGGACCTTGTCAAAGGCTTTGCTGAAATCTGTATAGGCGGCGTGTACTTCGAGGCCCTTAGACATAGCCATGATTATTTTATTAGTAAAGGGCAGAAGGTTAGTTAACGTTGAACGTTTACGAAAAAAGCCGCGCTGATTGGTAGTTATAATATTACTAAAAATCGAAGATATATACGCAGAAACAATCGATTTAAAGATTTTAGTGGGGACAGATAAGATGGAGATCGGTCTATAATTTTCCACATTTGATTTGCTGCCAGATTTATGAACCGGTACAACGTGAGCTGTTTTCCATATTTGAGAAAACACACCTGATCGCAAGGATAAATTAAAAATAATTTGCATAGGAAGAGCCAATGAAGATCTACATTCTCTGTAAAGCCTTGGAGGTACATTATCAGCTCCTGCCCCTTTGTTGGGATCTAATCTAGCCAAAGCATCACGAACATCACTTAATTCAATGTACATATCGTTCACATTAACATTACAATCATATACTACATTGTAATTGTTTGATATAGTAATGTCAGAATACAAAGATAAAAAATATTGATTGAAGACTTCGCATACGTCTTCATAACTGGAGATGTATTTTTCACCATATTTCATGGGCAGAGGCATATCATTATCAGATAATTTATTACGAATGAATTTCCAGAAAGTACTCGGATTGGTGATTAAATTAGATTCAGTTTTTTTAATATAATCACTATAAGCTTTTTCAATACTGTATTTACATGCCCTTCTTAAGCTAGAAAATTTGTTATATTCAAAGATACTACTTGTACGCTTATACTCTTTATGAGCTCGTTTTTTGGCATTGATTAGATTTAAGATGTTAGGTGTAAACCATTTAGGATAACTTGAACTTATCTTACATTTCATAGGCACAAAATATTCACATGCTTGATAAATATGTTGGTAAAATATATCTACAGCTCTATCAATATCACAATCACATAAAATAGTTTCCCAATTAATATTGGAAATATAAATACAGATATCATTATAAGAAGCGGCTTTAAAATCATAATAGCATATCATATTACCATTATTGGAATTAACACTAGAAGAGTCCAAATCACAATTAACAACAAAAGGCAGATGACTAAAATCTACAGGTACAATTGGATTATCACATAATGACAATTCTAAATTATCACAGTTAGCAAAGCATAAGTCCAAAACATTACCACAATTGTTCTTGATATTACTGAACTGGCGAAGATTACATAATGCAAAGCCATCACATATACACTCTTCTCGCTTTCCCGCACAAGCAGATGGAATAAAGTCATTATTATCAACAAATGATTGCCATTTTATATTTGGTAAGTTGTAGTCACCTAATATAATACACCGACAATCAGGCATATTATCACAAATTGTTGTAACTACTTCTACATGACTAGAATATTTGTCAATATCTATGGTAGGAGGCAAATATACAGCACCTATCACAAATGAACATACGCTATTATAGACCTTAACAAAGATTTGTTCAACAGATTCACAGTTTAAAGATATTTGATAACCTTGAAATGATTTATGCACTGCTATCAATACTCCTTCACCATCTGATTTTGTATTATTGGTATTATTTCGATCGTTTCTAAAAATCATATATCGACTATCAAGGATTTCATTGTTATCAATGACCGGGGTAACCACGTTTCTATTAAGACTATTACATCATAACTTCCACTTAAACACGCACAGTACACAGTACACATAAGAACATAACTTATTATCATAAGATTTGATGTTGATTAGGAAATTTTACTTTTTATGATAACACTTATAATAAAATAGATATTGTTACGTTGGATGGGCATATAAAATCGGCGTTAGTTAAACTCAACAATTTATTTCTTACCAACTCGAATTTACACGACTGACTATGGCGCAACTTGAATGAATTCGCTCACTCGTTGGACTCGGCTTTTTGACTGAATAATAACCGTTCCCGAAGGTGGCCTCTATTTAAACCCATACCTCGGCGATCGAGGTCTTTCTCGAATTGGGTATTGGCGATTTCCGCTTCCATGCTTTTCGAGCGCCGCGTCGATACTTTTCTGGAGCCGTCGCGACATCCGCTTCCAGGCTTTCTTTTAGTGAACGCCGCGTGGTCCGGCAGATGAGTCATACTACATACTAGAAAACCCATAAGCGTCGTACCGTGGCGGCGTATGGGTTTATTTCGTAACAATATAAATGTAATATCAAAGTAAAAGCAAAAACGTGCAGCATATTGGTTTCAAGTGAGTTTTTCCATTACAAAATTTTGTGATATCATCAACAGTTTTGAAAGGGTACATAGGTATATCAATTTGGATAGATGCAGTATAATACTAATAATAACTGTGCTGTATTACCAAATTTTCGAGAAAATGGAGTGAGTGGTTCTTGATTTAAACGATACAATAAATTGCCTCATTAATTATTATTTTGTTTTTAGTCACCTTGTATAAGTAATTCAAATAACAAGGAGAGCAGACAGAGCACGGACACACAGACAGACAGACAGACAGACAGACAGACGGAAACGGGAGACCTATTTCTGCGTAGTCTAGGGGTAATGAAATGTCGAAAAAACATAAAAGTCGGGAGTCGGTTGCAAGACTTGATTTTTTTATATATGTATACTTAGTTTTCTTTTAAAAACAGGAAAGTTAAACATGTTTTCGGTTTCTTGTTTGAAAAAAAAAATACTTTGTATATTAAGAAAAAGTGGACAAAATATAAGCCCCGCCCACCCACCCCTTCTCAATTGTGATGAATGTTTTATTCATCATGAGCTGAAGGGCGGAGTTTAGTTTGCAAATAGCCCATTTCTCTACAAGAGATTGTCATATGAAATATGTTTTTAAAAGGGTAGAATTTTTTATAGAAAATAGAAATATTGATGTTACAATTAATTAAACTCCGCCCTTCAGTCTGATTAGGAATGAAAAATTCATCACAATTGAGATGGGGGCGGGTGGGTGGGGCTTAATTTTTGTTTTGTTTTTTTAATATATAGAGTTTTCTTTCAACAACAGGATATTTAAACATATTTTCAGTTTCTTGTCCGGAAAAAATGCTTCGTATATTAAGAAAAAATGATGTTCTTCTTTTGTCGAGTGGGTGTGGAAACTTATAAAAAAACCTATGTAGTAAACGAAACTGAAAATGACTTCTGGATATTCGAAACTACAAGAAAATGTCTTCAACTACCTTTCGAAAATAGTTTAA